TCAGAATTATGGAAATCTTTTGAGAGAATAAAGTTGACTGAAAATATGCGAGCAAGGCATGATCGTTCCTTCAACAATTACTTATTGCGCATTGGCAATGGATTTGAATTGGTCAATGATCAAAACAAAGTCAAATTACCAGCATCTAGGATAATTTCCAACAATTTTTCAAATGCTAAAAATTATATCAAAGACTTGATTCAAATTGTGCTTCCAAATCTCAAGAACTACTCAGAAGATCCAATTTCAATGATTAATTATGTTGTGCTCACTCCAAAAAATGATTGTGTACAAGAAATAAATGATTTGTTGATCAAACAATTCCTAACAAAAGGTAGATTATATACAAGCATCGACAAGACAATCGATCCAAATGATCAAGGATAATATGAAGACTTCTTGAATTCTCTTGAACCAATGGTCTCCCACCTCATCATTTAGAATTGAAAATCTATAGTCCATTCATGACTTTAGGAAGCATAAATCCTTCAATAGTCTTGTGCAATGGAATGCAACTTATTTGTCAAGATCTTAAAGATTTCATCATTTATGCTGAAATTGGTGTTGGGGATCGGAAAGGACAAATGGTTTTCATATCACGAATACCATTGCAACCCTCAGATCAACAAAAATACCCAGTTCAGTTCACTAGAACACAATTCCCAATAAAGCTGTGTTTTGCCATGACAATAAATAAAGTGCAAGGCCAGACATTACAAAAAGTAGGTCTTTACCTACGAGAGCCAGTATTCTCCCATGGACAACTTTATGTTGCTCTATCACGAGCTAGAACTGCTGCAGATGTTAAAGTTCTCATTCCATCAACAAATCAACATGCTTTGGCTAACAATACCACAAAAAATATTGTTTATGAAGAACTACTAACACTTGCAAGCTGTATATAATTCATTTTTTTGTTGTAAATTTTTGGTAAATTTCCTCTTATGTAATGTAATTTTAATTTTATTTGTATTTACTATAATTTTCTATTATTCTTATATTAAGTTCTTATTAAATTGTTTCTTACAACAAATTTTGCAGGATGAATGAAGAAATAACACCCATTAAGAAAATAACTAGCATAACTAAAGAATGGACAACAAAGATTCGTGTTTTGGAAAAGTGGAATCCACTAATCCCAAAAACAGGCTCAAGAAGATATCAAAGGCTCATTTTGGCTAATGTAGAGGTTACACTTTGAAATTCTTATTTTCAAATATATACCATATTTACCATATTCATTTTTTAGGTTCTTAACAATAATAATTTTCATTTAATTCATAATTACATAATAAATTGCCTCATGGACTTCTGTTATACACACCACTTATATAGGGTACATAAGTTCAAGCTATACTTTATGAAGATCAAATAGAACAGTTCCAAGATACCTTGAAAGTTTTTAACTCATACTATGTCCCAAATGCTGCTGTGAAGTTGCTACAAGAAAAATACCGTATCACACCACAGTCATGGCAATGGCAATGGACAATCACTGCCAGCACATTTATTCGAGATGTTGAAAGCAATAATGAAGATAACAATGCCCCAACATATCACTTCGTACCATTCAATGAATTCTCTGACCATCTTGGCAATGAAACATCATTCATAGGTAATTTTCTTAGATCAACATAAATAATTATCGACTTACTTTTTCATTATATACTCTTATTGTTTTTGTATCTATAATAGATATTCTTGCAGCAGTTGTTCAAATTAAGCCACCAAAAATAATCACAACAGAAAATGGAACCACAACTATACAAGAAATGGTACTCATTAATGAAGAGTAAATATTTTGTATACTTGCGTTTAGTATAACTTGATTTCAATACCAACTAATTCTCTTAATTGTAGCTGGTTAATGCCAATAGTTTTAACTTTGTGGGGTCAATTCGTCACTAATGAAGGAGAGAAGTTGGAAGCCATTGCTCAATCCTTCCCAACTCTAATTGCAATCAGGCTTAAAGTCTCATCATTTCGCTATAATTATAATTTTTCCACATTATACTAAATATTTAATTTATTTTTTGCAGGACAATCATTATCAACAAAACCAACATCAGCTTTTGTGCTCAACCCCACCTTCAAAGTTGCACACCAACTTCACAATTGTACCATCTAATTCAAATACTTTAACTCAAATAATAATTTCTCACAAACACTAATATCAAAATAAACTGATGCAGGTGCATTCAGAATGAAGAAGTCATTAGAACTTTACCTTCTCCACTTGAAACTCATGTTCGAAACATCACAACTCCAAGTCGTAAAGTAGATAAAATCATTTCCATAAGCAGCATTTCATCTTCTCCAAATATGGTAAACTTCATACACATTCTTCTTCTCTTTAAGCATCTTAAATATATCATTAGTAACCATTGCTAATCACTTGTTACTAGAAAATGTACTGGGCCAAAGCAACTATGTCATCACTTCACTTGATCAATCTTTTTGGTACATGAGCTACAACAATTGCTACAAATCCATAAATGCAAAATATCAAATTGTTTTCGACTGTTTCCACTGTAAAAAAAGAAAAGAAAAAGGAAGAAGTTATTGCAGAACCGAGGTAACAACAAACTAACCCTACACCTTTTTAATATAACTAATGTTTTATATTTAATAAAACTAACATGTAATTTACTACAAACAAATAGAGTCAAATTCCAAGTTGAACTCAAAGATAATTCAGGTTCAATAATGGCAACAATATTCCAGGATCATGTAGAAAAGTTCTTTTCGATTTCATCTACTAACTTAATGAAGCATACAACGAAGGTAAAATAAATTAACATGCGTCATCTTCAAATTCACTATTTTCGTTCCCAATTTTTAAAATATTCTACATATATTATGTAGGACGAAAAAGTTTCAAATGAAGCCCTTCCAAAATTAAATGTGCCAGAATATCACATTATTCAACTAAAGCCTCGCCAATATCAGTTCCGTGGACAAATAATGCTTCAACATGTCATCACATCAGTGAACAATGATGATGTAGAACCCTCCATCATAACTCTTGCTTGGAAACCACATCAGCAATCTGTCCAAATAGAACCCAAAGCAAAGAAAGAACTGTTGTTGGTACAAATGTTGCTTCTAATATTTCAACTGCTGTTGTTGGTACAAATTCTGCTTCTGATATTTCTGCTACAACAAGTGTACCCTCTACAAAATCTCTCTAGAAAGAACACTCTACACTATAATATTTTTGTAACAGCGAAGCCCTTCCAAAATTGAATGTGCCAGAATATCACATTATTCAACTAAAGCCTCGCCAATATCAGTTCCGTGGACAAATAATGCTTCAACATGTCATCACATTAGTGAACAATGATGATGGAGAACCCTCCATCATAACTCTTGCTTTGAAACCACATCAACAATCTATCCAAATAGAACCCAAAGCAAAGAAAGAACTGTTTCCATCAACTGTTGGTACAAATGTTGCTTCTAATATTTCAACTGCTGCTGTTGGTACAAATTCTGCTTCTGATATTTCTGCTACAACAAGTGTACCCTCTACAAAATCTCTCTAGAAAGAACACTCTACACTATAATATTTTTGTAACAGGTTACTATAATGTGACGCATTTTTGGTTTGGTATGGCTCAGGTGGTTTGGTTTGTGACATACTTTTGTTGTTGCCTGTTTGGAACTGCAATGTGCTAGACACAACTCAATATTACTTTTGTAACATATCTTACTGTTTATACAAGTAAATTATCCAATATTAATTATAATGGGTACTAACCCACTTACTGCTACAACTCTCATCCTCTTCATGCATAAATAGTTTGGACTTAATTTTTATAGTACTATTCTCATAATCAAAAACATATGATGCGTGTTGATTGTTTTTACAGATCACAAACTTGAAGTTCTTGTTGTATCTCAAAAGCTATTGAACTTTCCACACGTTCATTCCATGTAGACCTCAAAACATGCTAAGTCCTTGTCTTCCTCCCATATCTGTAGATTTATACAAATAAATAACATGAATACAAGATGCCCCTCATTTGTTGTCACATTTAATAGTTCATAATGTTTTTCATTTAATTCCATTTCATTTTTTCCATCTATGGTTCATCCAGTCATTCAAAAAACCAAATTTATTAACAAAATTATAATATTATCTCCTCCCATTGATGGTCATTTTAATGGGCATCAGCTAGTGTGCTTTTGTAACGACTCTATCACATAAAATGATTAGTACTTAATTAATTAAGAGGATTTGAAATTTAATTGTCGTGTATTATAATTTAATTTGAGATTTATGAGAATTGTAGGATCTGATTCATATATGATTCTATTAAAGAGTTACTTCGAAATTAGAAATTAAGGGTCCAAATGACTTAAGGAAGTAAAATTGAGAAGTTGAATTAATTTAATTTTAATTACGGACCCATCCGGGAGTTTAATTAAGTATTCGATTCAATTTAGTAAAATTGAGATTCGATTAATTAGATTCGAATTGGAGAAAATTAAGCTAATTAAATTATGAGGATTGAGAATTGTAATTATTTCGAATTAAATTTAGTTATGGGGTGCCTAATTTGAATATGTAATTTATTGACAAAGATTTGGTGTCTGATCAAATTGAAGGCCTAAATGATTTGGGGAATCAAAATTGAGGATGAAAATAAGTTTAATTTAATATTTAGAACCTTTTAAGAGTTTGATTAAAAATCTGATTCAGACTGATGAATTTAATTATATTTAATTGGACCTTAATAGAAGTCAAGTTAGACTAATCAAATTATGTGGGAATTGTGATTATTTATGATTAAATTAGTTATGTAGTAATCAAGAATAATTTTAAATTATATTAATGTGTAATTAGTATGCCTAGCCAATCCTAATCAATTAATAAAATATAAATATAATAAATAAACAAAAGAATGAAAGCTGGAGAGATTTCTAGAACTTGAGGAGAATGATCTCAAATATATGTAATATATTGGAAGCTTTTCGTTTGTTTTCTTGCGCTCGAGAACCGTACGGCTAAGAGAGGGAGATAGTGCCCCGAGAGAGAGAGAGAGAGAGAGATTCTTTTGAACTTGCTGGAAATTAAAGAAAGGAAATAATGGAAGATTATCAAGAAATGATCAAATTAAAGATTGAAGGTAAGGATTTCAACTTTGATTTTGTAGAATTCATGTATTACACTTGAAATTAATAATGAGTTTGAGTTCAATTTCATATAATTTGGAAGAAATTAGAAAATAAAGATGAAGAGATTAAGTTAGGTTCATGGTTATGAAAATTGATTATCTTGGGTTTGATGTTGTGATTTTGCATGAAATTATGCCTAAATGTTACATGCATGGGAAAACTCTACAAGATTAATACTTTAATTAAACATGCATTATAAAATTTTAAGGTTTTGGAATTTTAGTTCATGTTTAAAAAGTTTATGGATTTGAATTGAGTTTAATTTTGAGAATCATTCTTAATTTGAGTTCATGAAATTTGAGAGTTGATTTTGGAATTGAAGGAAGTTTTGATTTTATAATGAAAATTAGGAATTTGTTTAATCCGTGCATGTAATTGAATTGAAAGGTTTTATTCAATTTAAATACATTTTAGAACACCCATGATTATAAATTAAATATTTGGTTAAAAATTGAGTTAAGTTGATTTTGTTATTAATAGAAAAGCTGGATCTATTTGATTTTATTATTACATGCATGTAATTTAGAGAAATTAAAGAATTAATTCATGAACATAGTTGGGGTTGATCCTTATGGAAATAATTACATTCACAACGAAGGTTTTAAGAATTAAGCCATACAATTTCATATTTTGAAGAGAAGGAAGAATTTTATAAAAATCAAGTTTATGAGAATTTGGGGTTAATTCCAATCTTAGACAAGGTTTTTGAATTTTATTATGAAAGATAAAAATTAGTTTCATTTTAAGTTTGAATCCATGCATGTGATGTAATTTAGGAGTTTTATTCGATTTAAACACATTTTGGAACATTTATGATCATAAATTAAGTTTTGGTTATAGATTGAGTTAAGTTGAAATTCTAAGGAATTGATTTTTGTAATTCATTAGTTAAGCTTGATTTTTATTGTTAATGATGAAATTGGGTCTTACTTTTACATGCATCATGAAATTTCAAGAGTTTGAAAAATCTAATTCATGTTTTAAAGTTTTGAGTTTGATATAAAGAAAATAAGTTGAATCTAAATTTGGTCAATTGGAGCATGATTTTGAATAAATAATTTTAATTGAGAGTGTTTAACTAAATTATACAATGGTTCTCCATGTTTGTATACTAAAGTACATGTTTTGACGCTTTGAATACCAAATTTGAACTTTAATTGCAATTTTGGAATTTCAGAATTTTCGTTGTCCGCTCGAGCGAGGGAAGTCTCGCTTGAGCGTGAAAATCGACCTCCCAGTAGTTTTTCAAATTTTACAGTCCGCTCGAGCGGCCAAAGTGGCGCTCGAGCGGAGACCCATTTTCAGCATATTTTGGAAAATTACATTTGGTTCACATTTTTATTCTCATCTCTTTTCAAGGCATTCTAGACATGATTTATGACTCAATAAAGATTAATAATCTACCAACCAACATGGATTAATTAGTTGAAGAGTGAATCTTTGATCTAGCAGTAATTGTTTACGAAGCCAAGTAAAAGATCAATCTATTGGAAAAGAAAGGCTTAGTAATGAAAGACTATATGAAATAAGAACCCGGTTTATTTAAATGAGAAAGAATAAACGTAGTAGAACTTCAGACTATAAAGATTAGAAAGGACAAGTTTAATCAAGAGAGTAATATTGTATTTCAATGTGTGTATGTTATGTGCTTGTGTAGGTCACGTGCCATTGTCTGCCTGATTTATCTGATATACCCAGTCTATCTGATTTGCTTCTGTAGCCATCTGTGAGTAATAACTTTATAAAGTTATGTTCAATGTTAAATATTTTCTGAACATTATGACCTGAAATGATTAGTCTTCTGAAATGCTACGCTATGTTTTGAATGAATGAATGATTGTCCAAGATTCTGAAAGTTATCCGTGGCATCCTTAGCATTACATGATATGCGTCCCTTTATGGGTCATTAGGTCCCTTTATGGGTCATCAAGTCCCTTCATGGGTCATCAGGTCCCTTTATGGGTCATCAGAAACATCTCTGTGCACATGAGTCATCAGAATGCCTTCAAGGCCGTCCTTTTATGGGTCATCAGATTTGTTAACGCTAATGGATGTACCACGTATGATCTTATGCAAAATATGAATATGAATATGAGCATGTATCTGAATCTATTTCTGATTTGAAAAATGAATAAGCATAAGACTCTATTTCTGATAAGATTATGTTTCTGATATAAACTCTGATTTCTAACTCTGTGATGGACATCATTCATTAAAACCATTTACTCTGTTATTATTCACTGGGCTTTAGCTCACTGTATTATTTATGTATGTAGGTGATCAGGCATGTGACCAAGCTTAGAGGCATCTGCCTAGAATCTGTTTTTGTCAGCTAACCTATGTGCCTCCCGTGGAGGTTCCGGATATGTCAAGTGTTTATCGCTATGTGATTTAAGGTTCAAGTTTTGTTTTCGTGTTTGGTTGAACAAGTCTTGTGTATCTTGTAAGTAGGGTTAAGTCCATTTTAGTCTAATGTGTACATATATGATGACTTAAAGATAATGTGTTTATGTGTATATAAAAAATTTAAAATTTTTCTGTCTCATATAAGTCTGCACCGCTCAATGGACGTTGTATATTGTTACTTGCTTCCGCTAGCCCCTAATATTATGTTAATCTGTCTCAGAGGCCTTCGGTAATCCCAGGATTACTGGCCGGTTATGATGCTAAACCTATAGGGGCGGGTTTGGGTCGTGATAGCTTTGCACGCAGCCCTCTCACTAGTATATTGGGGTAACCTTACTTGCATGATAAAATGAACTCCTTGTACCAATTTTGCTTTCACATCCTTTTCAAAAATTTAAAATTTTATTTTTTCTCATTACACTTCCAATAATACCAAATCTACTGTATCTTAAACACAAATCTTACTTCCTGTGCCTAACCATAACCTCTGGCACTATTGTCACCACCTACGACAACCAAGCCCTAACGTCTTCCCCTCCCCCCTCTTATATCAGTGATCACTCTTACTATTTCTGACCAATGTTACCCCCTTTCACCATTCCTTTATTCTTCTTCTCTCATATTTATAAAGCTTGTGGCTACGTTTGGTGCAGCCTTGAAAACTTAATTCCCCCCTCTATTTGCATGCATTGTTTAGATGGAGTTTTGGAATTGTGATTTCACCACACATTTCAAAACATATTTCTCTTTCCTGTTTGGCTACTCTCTCTTTTTCGTGTTCTCCATTCTGAAAAGCAGAGGATTTTTAAATTTTGGGTCTACCCGATCATCCTCCCGAACATCCCCCCGGTTGATCGAAACAGTGTTCGTGCTCTTTTTTTTTTGGCACCTGTTATTTTTATATTTTAAATAAAAAATATTTTGGAAATTTTTTAAAAACTTTTTTATGAGCTTTGAATATAATTTTGGGTTGTGTGTTTGGTTATGAGTTGTAAATTTTTGAATCAAATATCATATGTCATATCACTCAACTCAAACTCAGTTCAAAACTCTTTTCAAAACTCATAACCAAACAAATTTTTCACACTCAAATTTTAATTTCAAAGCTCACAAATTTAAAATATAACTCTATTCTTAAATCATAATTCTAAAATTCTACCAAACGCAACCTATGATTTTCTATTTCTCGTGCTTTGGTCGACGAAGGGATTGGATAGCAATGGCCGCGTTAGTTGATAATGGGGAAATGGGAAGTAGTTTTGTAATGGGTAGAAAGGGATAAGAAGTGGTTTTGTAGGTGGAAAAGGGAGGTATTGGTGGATGAGCAGGGTTAGCGGCAATGTTTGAAAACTTGGACCGGACTAGCCGGTATCTAGTTTTGATTCAGATGATCCTCCAAACTCAAACTATGCTCAAAATCGACTTAGAATTTAAAAATTAGAAGAACTGTCGGTTCAATTGGAATAACTAATAAACCAATCATGGGTTGACATAATCGGTCGGGTTTGAAGAATTGAAATTTCTTCTAAAAATAAGTTGTGAAAAGGAGTTGAACATGGAACCAAGTACATAAAAGGCAAGCACTCTAATCATTAAGCCATCAATACAATTGTTAACAATGTAATAATTATATATACTATATATTTAACATTATCTTAATTATTTTTACTAAAAATCAATGTATAAAAAATGTAAAATAATTTTTAAGAAATATATATATATTCGAGTTGTATGACATTACGATGAAATTTTGTTTTATCTAAAATTGAACTAGTGTTGCTCACCAATCTCGTTTTCAAAACATTGTTCGGTGGTTAATTGTCCAAGGTGGCAAAGTGGCTAGGATGGAAAGGAAGGGGATCATTGACGACAACAATAAATTGGGATTACGATTGTGATATAAATTTTTAATATAATAATAATTTTAAATAAAAGGTAGGATTGTAAAAGATTAAAAATTAAAAATTAAAAAAATGAGATGACACTAAGGAGGAAGAAAGATCGTGCAAATAGAGGGAAAATCCTACCATACATGAAAGTGGTTTTCGTGTATGGTACATAAAAAAATATAAACCATTAGATTTAAATAGGATGAATGTTAACCATTGGATGAATGGCTAGTAAAACTAGATAGAAAAAGTAAGGTAGTTTTTCAAAAAGTAGAGTAATTTTAGTAATTTTGAAATAAAAAAAAAATAATGTTAACTTACCATTTGCTACAAACGTACATAGGTCTTGTTTGTCATAACCTAAAAAAATTAAAAAGTTAAAAGTCACTATCCTATTTAAGTCATATCATCTTATTTAAGTCACATCACCTTTCTTAGGAATGGCAACGGGGCGGGGCCGGGGATCACACTCCCCGTCCCCGATCCCCGATGGTCGAATTTCCCTTGGCCCTGATCCCCGACGGGGAACAAATCACTACCCCCGCCCCCGCCCCCTAACGGGGATCGGGTTTTCTCGACCCTAAACATTCCCCAGCCAAAAAAAAAAAGATTCAAAAAATACAACAATTTATCATCAACAACAACAACATCAAAGACAGATCTGAGACAGATCAGAAACATATCTGAAATATCTGAGACAGATCTGAAAACAAAAAAAAAATATCTGGATGAGAGACGTGGTGGTGGTGGTGGTAGTGCGAGCTGGACGGCGGTGGTGGTCGGCGACGTCGAGAAGAGAGGGAGTGGATGAGAGATGCGGTGGTGGTGGTGGTGGTACGAGCTGGACGGCGGTGGTGGTCGACGACGTCGAGGAGAGCAGTGGATGAGAGATGTGGTGCGAACTGGACAGCGGTGGTGGTCGGCGACGTCGAGAAGAGCAGTGGATGAGAGACGCGGTGGTGGTGGTGTGAGCTGGACGACGGTGGTGGTGGATCTGAAAGAGAGAGAGAAGTCAGTGAGGTAGAGAGAGACACGGCTGTGAAAAAGACAGAAATGAGAGTGAGTGTGAGACCTGGGCCACATGTTGGTTTATATTATTATATATATAATATATATATATATATATGTTTTATAAGGGTAAAATAGTAATTTAACATTAGGGATAAATCGGGCCGGGAAATGGGGACGGGGCTGGGCCGGGTCGGGTACGGGGCTGGGATACTTATCCCCATTCCCGGCCCGAATCTGTTCAGGGATTGATTTTTAAATACCATTCCCGTCCCGTCGGGGATATTTTTCGGGGAAAACCCACTGAGGTCGGGGGGTCGGGTCCCCATCGGGCCGGTTTCAAATTGTCATCCCTAACCTTTCTATTACATCACTTCAAACCCAATCCGTATTTCATAAAAAGTTAAAAAGTGCACTTATTTAGATCATCCCAAACAACCCCTATTTGCTATTCACTCGTTACTATTCATTATGAATAAACTTACTATTTAAAATATTACCTGCTATATAGGTCACTTTCATTTCTTGAAAATTGTATTTTCTTTTACATTTTAAATTAATTTTAAATAAATAAAACTAATGACACACCATATTTAATTATTTTTCCTCTATATTTTGTCTTGTTACGATTTGTATTACTATTTAAGAATTTGAGATTCATATATTTATTTATTACTTATAAATATTCATATTTTATGTAGTAACATATATGAATTTCTTGTAAAAAAAATCTTTTAGAAACTTTTATAAATTCATAATTTTTTTTTATCAATTTAATATCGCTAATGAAATTTTTTTCTCCATAAAATTCATGAGTTTTCTTTATAATATTTTTTAATATCTAAAATATTGTAAAGCATAAGTTAAAAATAAAATATAATAAAATAACTGAGAAAAATCTCTCATTTGTCAATATTTATTAATTGTAATAAATGAATACTTTCTTTTACCGACTACACTTGAAAACAATAATTGCTAATAAAGTTAATTAGGAAAATATAGAAGAATGCTTACCTCATTGTCATACATATAGTAAACAAGATTGTGTTTTTTCCATATTAGTGATTTATATTTTACAAATTGAAGATAATTTTCAGGTAATAATTTATATGTGTCTCTATCTCTCTTTTATTTTAACATTATGTGATATTTTTAATTTATAAATTTTAAGATTTTGTTAGAAAATCATTTCACTTAGGCCTCGTTTGGGAAGCGATCCGTTTAGCCAAAAAGTTAAAAAGTCACTAAAAAAATCAAAAAACCAACAACTCATACAAAAAAGTGAAAGATTCTCTTTTCTCTCTACTTTTTGCATATTTTTTCGTAAAAAGTCAAAAAGTCATCCTAAACATACTAATTTTTTTTAGCTCATATTTTAGTCAAATAGTCAAAAATTTACTAAATTAGCCTGTTTCCAAATGAGACCTTAGTTAAAGGAAAAGTAGAGCTTTTAAAATTTTAAGTCAAGTTTAATAAAATAATAAGTATAATTTCATTGACTAGTAACTTAAATCTATTTGATTTATCAATAAGTCATGTTTAATTAAGTAGTAAGTATAGTTTGATTGAATAATAAATAAAAACTCATTGAGTAACAACTAAAGTCTAATGGAGTAATAAGTAAAAACTTATAAAGTAGTAAGTTGGGTTTAATTGACTAGTAAGTAAAGTCGAATGAAATAGTAAGTGAAAGTTAATTGAGTAGTAAATAAAGTATTATGCAATAATAAGTAGGAACTCATTAAATAGTAAGTATAGTTTAACTATGCAATAATAAGTAGGAACTCATTAAATAGTAAGTATGGTTTAACTGAATAATAAGTGAAGACTAATCAAATCGTAAATAGAATCTCATTGAGTAATAATTCAAGTCAACTTATCATGAAGTAGTAAGTAGTAAGTCAAGTTTAGCGAAATAGTAAGTGGAGTTTGTTTAAGTAGTAACTAAATAAAGTAGTAAGTTATACCTCATTGAGTAATAGTGAATTCTAATTAAATAGTAAGTATAAACTCATTAAGTAGTAAGTGAATTGTAATGAAATAGTAAATGAGAAAGGGTAAATTATGCTAACAGTTCCTATAGTTTGGGACATGTGTCACTTTAGTCCCTGACTTTTCAATTGTGAAACATTTGACCCTGAATTTTGAATATTGTTCCAAATAAAGACAATTGAAGATACCATTGTTTAATTTCAAGGGCAAAATCGTCAATTTAATAAAATATAAACTAATTTAACAAAAA